ACGGGGGGCGCGGCGCGGGAAGAGCCTCCCAAGGAGGGAGCTCTCCGTCACTGCGAACGGGCAGGTGGGTGTCGCCAGGGTCTGAGGGCAATTCTCATCTCTCTGGAATTACAGCTTGCTCAAAGTGGATGGAAAGTGCCTTAGAAAGTAATTTTACTAATATTTTTAATCAGTGATCTCTCAAATGCAGCTGCCTGTCTTTTTGCAGTATTTTTCCATGTGACTGCGAGCTGGCCTTGCCTTCCCAGGGAGCAAGCTGGAAGGGGGGTGGCTGCAGTAGCTCGGCATTGGGACCAAAGTAATAAGCACTGCTGTTCAGTAGAGGCTGTTGTCCTGTGCGTTGCATCGCACTCGTCAAAACAGCCTTGCATCTGCTTGGAGACACACGTCGGCCTGCAGAGCAGAGGACAGCACAGCATTTCTCCTGACTCGTGCGGGGTCCAGAATCTCTGAAAAACAAGCCACCTAGTTAGACTCAACTTGAAGAAATTGCACCGAGTGGCTTTTCCCTGCATTGTTAACCAATAGTTTATTTCTCCTAATTTAGGTGCAAAACCAATCTGCATGGCAAAATGGATACAGGTAAGAGGGTGAATTTCACCTCCCGATGTTCCATACTTATCCACAGCTGTGTATGATTTAGTTGCTAGAAAATCAGGCAGGTGCCTCTGGCCCACCTCAGCCTGTGGTCTGTGCTTGCTGGGTGCCCTCCTGCAAGGTCAAACAGTTACGTTCCCTCAGGTTGAATATGGTTTTAAATCCTGGTCTCTCGTTTCTTTGGGGATTATTTTGACTGGTAGGCTATATAAAACTATATATATAAGTGGTGGAATGGCAGTGTTAGGTTAATGGTTGGACTTGATGATCTTAAAGGTCTTTTCCAACCTAAATGATCCTGTGATTCTATAAAACAGAGCTATCCCTGCTGCTCTTCCTGAGTGGGAGTGGTTGCAGGTGCTATCTATTGCTGAACACACCAGTTTCCTATCTGGGTCTAGATAACACTGGGAGCAAGAAGTATTTAGCACTGTAGTATCTCATAAACAGTCTTAGCTGTGCTTTCAGCAAAATGCTCAAGAAAAAACTTGGCAGGAAACTTGCTTTTCAGCCTGTTCTGCATCCCTTGAGCTCAGAGCAGTTTGTGCAATTCATTCAAGTTCTTCCTGGGTGAGGCTTGGCTTCTTGGGTAACAGGAGTGGGAATACTTTCTGACTTCAGGTTTCACTTATTTGCCTTTGAGGAACGCGAATAGTTCAGTGAATTTTATGTAGTGATTGTTAAAAATTCACTACCCGGCTTTGGTTTCCTCAACCCACTTGTTAGGGATTGCAGATTTTCTCATGCTCAGCCAAACTTTTGTGTTCAGGCAAGTAAGAAATTCCCAACATGCCTAGCAAAGCAGTTGAGCACACTTAAAACACGTGCTTTAAAAACAACCCAATGCTTTATTATGAAAGGCTAAGGCCAACGCTTCCTCTCTCGAGGCCGTGAGGAAATTCTCGTGGACTTCTATGGAAGTAGGATGTACCCTCTCATCGCTGCCAGCTCCCTCTCTTGTGCTCTGTCTGGCTGAGGTTTTCCCGGGAAGAGCCATCTGCTGCATGTAATGAAATAGTCTCTCCTAAAAGTCAAACTGTTCTGTGATTAGATGCACTATGCTAAGGTCACACTAGCAAAACAACACTGAAGCTCTCAGCTAGCTTCTCTGCTCTGAAGCAACATGCGTAAATTAAATGTTTTTTGTCCTGTAACACAGAGTCAAACCACAGGCCTGGCCCGCTTCTAGAACTTAAAGGAGGAGCACTCAAGGGTAAGTGCACATTTATGCTTTGAGAGGTCAAATTTTTTATACTTTTAAAATTACTTGCCTGCTTTTTTCTCCTGTGTGCAAATAGAATATGTATCATAAAAGATAAACGAAGAAGAGCGAGTTACTTTATTCTTAATTGCACTACATGAATATAGTGATCTATACGGTTACCGAACAGGAAATATGATTTGTTATTTGATTCTGCTAAAGTATAGTCATTTTTGCTCATCTTGATAGATTTTTTTTTTAAAACATGTTGCATTTAGAATTCTGTCAGATGTTTCTGAAATTACGCTCTGGTACTATTTCCACCGTTGCTTCAGCAAGACAAACAAAATTGCAAAAAACATACAAAAGCAAGCTTCCTTCTTGAAAGAATGTGTAACTGATGCTAGGTGTCCTGGAATAAGCATTTTATTTTTGCTAAATCTATACTGCATGGCCTCATACTCATTAAGTAAAAATTTCCTCCGTTCCTGAGAAAAAATGCGGTCACTTGGTAGCATGTAGATAATTATCAGGCTAGATGCGTGAATTGCTTATGCTGGCAGTGTCAGATGCTTGACAAATGTTAAAAATAGATTAAGACAGATCAGTGTTAAGAGTTGTGCTGTGATTGCTTATTTTAATTATATTATTAAGGTCTATATTAAGGTCTTTCTTAGAGATATGCAGAGCCAGTCATTTATTCTTGCATTTAGCCCATGAATTGTAGCTGTGGTGTTTTCTTTATACTGCGGTGCAGTACACAAGTATAAAAACTGTCAAAAGCCTCAGATGTCAGGAGCTGAATCAACACAATATATCGCAGTACATCCGGCAAGGACGTGTTTTCCACATATCTGCTTTTTGAACAGCCAAAACTTCACTGATGTTTTTCTTACCCAAACCTTGTTAATACAATAGGTGTATGATAATTGGTTTAGATAATGCAGTATTTTGCTAGCTTGATTTCTGACATTACGTGCTCTTTGACAAGTAATGCTGCTCTAAATGTTGGATTTGGTTGTGGTGTCTTGAAGGATTTGTAGGAGAATAATACGGTTATAGTTACTGTTTGTGTTCCATCGTTAGGGGTTCCAGGCAGAACTGAGTCAGGCAGAACTACCGTGAGGTACAGAAACAAACAGAAACTGCGGCCATTGTAAATCCTTGCACACGTGGGTTCTTACCACTCTCGCCCCATCAAACGTTAGCCTCTATAGCAAGCAAACTGCTGTATAAATGCTTACGGTAGCCCTACTGTGAACAGAGCTCGCAAAGTTATAACTGAATTCTAGAATTCCAGTTTCTGTTGTCTTGGAGATTTTACCTTTCACAAGGTACCAACATTTAAGAATGTAGGCATGATCACAGCGCTTTTGCAAAATGTTTTTGTGGCTGTCTGGCACAATCACTTTGGAAAGCTTGTGTAGATGAGGAGTGCAGGGAAGTGGATCAGAAATACATGTGGAATGCGATTCCATCAGTACTGATGGATGCAGGGAAAAAAAAATTCACAGAAGCATGCCAGTGTTGATGAAACTTTTATTAAAAGCTTTGATTTCTGTGAAAGGAAAAGTTTAAAAAAAGGACGTGAAAATAAGCATTTAAATATGGCAAAATGTGTCTGGCAACCTTTTTGGAAACAAAGAAGTTGTACGTTTCTGATCGTAAATATAAATATATTGTATGTATTTCCACACATAGATATGCCTCTATTTACTTATTTATTTATTTCAGGACATTTATTTTTCTTCTTTGTGGTAGTGGCTGGTGGTTTAGAGATTTAGTTTTCTGGAAACTGAAAATGGAGATTTTCATATTCTTACCTGATGGACAGAACCTTCAAAAATACATCCTTGGATTTTTGATTGACACAGAGAATTAATGGGGAGTTGACTATTGGTTGTAATCCTTTTGCAGAAACAACAGCCGAAATAATGATTCAACCTCAAAATTTATATTATTCATAGAAGTGGACTATAAAAAACTATGTCTGCATTGCAGCTGGACTTAGACATTTGCAGGTTTGTGTGTGAAGTTCAATGAAAGTTAATCCGTGACCAGTTAAGCAAAGGGCATCTGCCAGGTTCAGAGTGGCCCCGCAAGTGTGGGCAATGGCAGGTAATTACTGAAGATGTGGTCTGTGTCAGCTAAGGCTGTTACAAACACACACAATTTACATAGCTATCCATTTTTCTTGTGTTTTCAGGTATCCCCAGTGCCAACTTGGTATAAAGAGACCAAGGTATTAATTGATGGAAGGATATTTCTTAATAGGAAACGCAGGAGGACTATCGGTTTCATCCCTCCTGTGTGTGTAGCTGAGATAAGCCTGCGTGTGGGCTAATGCAGGTGCTCCTTTCCCACTCCTCTGCGCTGAGGTGGGTGTGAAGCGGGGCATTTGCAGAACACGTAGGGCCGCACAGGGGTACTCACGCGCTGACGTGGAGCCCATAACGAGCCTGAACAATGCCTTGCTTGTCAGAGCATGTTTCCATACATTAATTGTACGGCAGTACTATGCAAGGTTTAGGCATAGATCAGGTGCCCATTGTTCCAGGCAGCACGTGAATACACAGAACGGTCCCTGACCCAAAAAGCTGGCGCTGTGATGATAAGGAGAGAGAGAGAGTACGTGGGTATAGACTGGCAGGTCCTGTGAAAGAGCGGGAGGAGCAAGCGCATCTGAAAGGTAGGAATCAATCCTATCGCCTAGGGGTGTGGGCTGAGCAGGACTGTGCGGAGAACAGAGATTACATGGTGAAGAGATAGTGAATAAGAGAAAGGAACTTCAGACAGGTAGCAAAGGGAACTTTTTACACTGACTCTAGAAGAAACAAACACACACACACACACACACACCCCAAAGACACAAATTCCCTCCTGGGCTTGTAAAATGCATAAGCTTTCTGTAGTAATAACTTCTGTGAATGTAAAATTGCGCTCAAAGGAGGATTTCCATTTTGGTTATAACCAAATAAAATAGAAAAAAAATGTGATGCAAATAGGAAAATTAATGGCCACTTTTTAAGTTTAATCAAATTTGTATATTTTTGTCAGTTAAAAGATTTTTTTGCTGATGTTAGGATTAAGCCCACAGTTCCTTCTGAAATCATTAGAAGTGGCTTTGGGTCCAAAACCACCTGCAAAATGGCTATTACTAAAAATTAAACTGCTTTTGAACATGGAAGGAACAATGTTTAGTGTAATTTTTCAAAAATGTTTTGGGCTCAGTTGGAATAAATGATCAAATACTGAACATTTTTTATTTACAAATATGTTTCAAATTGAGAAAAATGTTGGTATTTTAATGAAAATAAGTATGAACAATCAAAATTTTTATTTAGAATTGGAATTTCAGACAAATTTTTGAATATGTTTTTCAAAACCAGCATGGAACTACAACAAAACATGAATTTTAAATAAAAAGGCGTTTTTTTCTGAAGATTTACTCAAATTTGGATTATCATATATGTTCCCTAAAGAAATGTTGAGTGATTGCTTTAGCCGTTTTGATGCTTTTTCTAGCTGTTCTTTTGCATAATATTTGAAACCGATTGTTTTTCACAAACACTTTGAATATTTTGTGTCATAAAAGGATTCTGGTGAGGCATCTACAAGTGTCTTCACTGCCTGTTGCTGCCTTGACCATTCCAGGTTTCAGTCAGTTCTGTATTTCTCCTAAATCATATGCAGCCGCAGTTCTCATGTTCCCATTTTCACGCTGCTGCCAGCTTTGTTTCCCCTTATCCTGAGTTCCTAGGGCATTAAGCTTGGGCAAGGTCAGACCCTGGTGATCCGTGTGCGGTTTTCTTCGTGGGAGTGGAGACAGACCCGAGAGATGGGTGGAGGACAGGGAAAGGGGAAGCCAGCAGGTCCAGGGACACTGAAGGGGAAATTCACACTGTAGCTGCTCAGCGGAGGTAATTTGTGTCTGAGGAATGATCTGTCGCGGAGGGCAAGAAGGCCCAGCTGCAGAAGGGATTAAGGTGGCTGGAAGCAGGGGTACCAGAGACCCAACTACTCCCAGCGAGGGCGTGAAGTTTCCCTTGGTGATGAGATAAGAAGCTGCTGTATTGTCTGGTAGCCATCCTGCAATGGGAACACTCAGGGGCCGCCTTTTGGCAGCAGAGCTGGGCTGGGGGATGGACCCTCGGCGGGGCTGAGGTGCCCATGCAGCCGCTCGTGGATTGGTGCTGGTGCCAGTGTACGTAAGGAATGGGCTGCTGAGGATCTTTGCAGGCTCCTTGTAGAACCACTTATGGCGGTAGGACTGCCCAATGCCTTATTGATGAAATATTTTAAGCACAAACGCATATTTAATTTGCCTGAAGGCGTAGCATAAAAATTCTCCAACAATTGTTGCTGTTCTGATTGGTAAGAGATGGAAAAATATGTTTACAGACCATGAGATAACCAAAATAAGCACATTTCTTACCACTACTTGCTAAAACCTGGGGTGTTAAGTTCTCCTGCATGGCTCTGCCTCGCTGTCCTCCTGTCATTAGCCAGTACCTGATTCAGCAAGTAGCATCCTTGGTCCTCCATCCTGGAACTCCCTTCCAACCTGGTATTCTGTGATTCTATGTTTCCAGAGCAGGACTCGAGACAAGCAGCCAGCACACCCTTACACGTTTAAATGTTCTCCTATCTTTTCACCGAACGCTAGAAACCCAGTTTATTGGGACTTGAGCTTATTTTCACTCAATAGCTGATGATTGGTTACCACGATCTCCCATTCATCTTTCCTCGGTGAATTTCTTGTGCATCTTCTATCACAAGTTTTCTCGAGAAGCCGAGAGGGTATTATGCTAACAGTTCTCTTTCCAGTTTCTATCTAAATTCAATAATTGAAGTTACGGTTTAACCTAATACCTTGTATTTTCTCCCCAGATTTTAAAAAAATGATGTCTCTTTTATCTTGGGTGTAAAAACAGCATTTATTGCAGTTTTCCTCATGGAACATTGTTTTGCTTTAGTTTCCATTGTTGGATTTGACAAAATGCACAGCAATCTAATCTGATTTTCGTATCAAGAAATCTGACAGCTCTTTTCCCCTCGATGTCAAAATGCAGCTGAACTAAGATAATGATAACTGCATAGTACAATTGCTTTAGTGAGCAGTATTCATGAGTCAATCTGCATTTAAAAAAATGTCCCCAAGGCTCTTTTCAGCTGGGAAAATTACCATGCTTTTAAAATAAGTTATACCCTCCAAAATAGAGGAGAGAGGCATCTGGTCTTCTGAAAGCAAAGATGAAAGCAGATTTGAAAGAATGCAACAGGGAACATTAGGCAAATGCATATTTAAGAGGAGATGGATGAATACTGGGGGGTAATTCCATGGCACTGTAATAAAATGCATGAGGAAAAGATTTATCTCTACTGCTCCATTTTTTTTCCCTGTTAAATATTTATGTTTTTTAGAGTTGAAATAGAAAAGAAAATGTGATCAGAGATCTGAAAGGCTGAGGATAACGGCATCCGATGCCGTTTTTTCTCCAGGCTCTTGTTGGACGTATGGTCTAGATTGTAGTTCATAGAATCTAATCCCAGGTTGGAAGGGATCTCAAGGATCATCTGGTCCAACCTTTCTGGGCAAGAGCCCAGTCCAGACAAGATGGCCCAGCACCCTGGCCAGCTGAGCCTTGAAAGTGTCCAGTGTGGCAGAGTGAACCCCTCCCCTGGGGAGATTATTCCGATGCTTGGCTGTTCTCGTAGGGAAAAACTTCCCTCTTGTGTTCAGTTGGAATCTTCTCAGGATTAACTGGTACCCATTACCCCTTGTCTTTTCCATGTGACTCCTTGTGAAAAGGGGATCTCCATCTTCCTTATAGCCACCCTTTAAATACTGGTACGTGGTGATGAGATCCCCTCCGAGCCCCCTTTGGTCCAGGCTGAACAAACCCAGCTCTCTCAGCCCATCCCCATATGACTGAGAGAGGCTTCCCAGCCCTTGGGTCACCCCTCCAGCCTGTCCACAGCTTTTTTGTACATTGGGAACCAGAACTGTACACAGGATTCCAGGTGTGGCCTGACCAGTGCTGAGCAGAGTGGGATGCTGGTCTGCGTGGAGCAAGTGGAGAGTATTGGCCCAGGGCCAGCTGACAGATGTCCGGGTTATTTAAAACCACTACGATATGCACTAATATCTCCTCTATATCCTCTTCTTGTCATCTTCAGCAGGGAAGCCCCTGTGACGAGGGATTTTGAACTAGACTGTTTTTCAGGCTCAGAGGTGGTAGTCAGAGGAAGCCTGCGCACCAGCTTCCTGCCCGGTACCTCCTGTGTGGATAACCTGAAACCTTCTGTGTGTCAGCAGCGCTGCATACAGCAGTGCATGTTTCCCCCTCTTAGTTTCACTCTGCACTACTTTAAAGCTCTTTTGTCATCTTCTGTGTCTTCTGGCAACTTCCCGGCTACACCTGTGAGCTGGCCGTTGTACCTTGGTGGCACATCAGGCTTGCTCTTCGAGCCGTCCTTTCCTGTTGGTCTCCACTTCCTGGTACACTGGACCTTTGCCAGTTTATTCCAAGACTAAACTGTCAAAGCATGTTGCCTCCCTGCTGCCTTTTCACTACCTCCTCCCACTCCCCCTTCTCACATCACAAATACTGACCCCTGTCCCCTCTCCTCTGATCCCTTCGTGCACTCCAGGGGTGCTGTGCTGACCCAGGTTGCCTGTTAGGAGGTGCTGAAGCCAGCTCCACGCCCACGAGTCCAGCTGGTGAGGCTGAGCACGTGTGCTTAGCAGGCACACACACGTTTGCATACCACGCACGTGTATGCTGAGAAGGGGTGCTGGTCTGGTTCCCCCATCAGCTTTTGTTCCTCTGCACCCCATGGAGCCAAACTGTTTGTTACACAACCCAGCATTGTCCCTTCTGGTGTCCTTCCCACTAACCACCTTCTCTTCCTGCTTTTCTCCCCTTGGGTAACTCTGTGGAAAAGGTGCCTGCGGCAGGGTTTGCCCAACGGAAATGAAGATACACCTAGCCGCTTTGTGCTCTTTTGGTGAGTCAGATTCCAAGCAAGCCCCTTGCTATTCAGCCATCAAGCTCTAATCTAGCTCCCACATATTTTCTTACTGACTTTGATGAGTGTCTGCGGTGGGCCGTGACACGAAGCCGGGTGCTGACAGGCTGCTCTGCCTGTGGCCCCGCGGGGAGCAGGCAGAGGCTATCGAGTGCTTGAAAGGGCGCTGGGAAAGGTTGCGGTGCTGGGGTGCTGGTGGCTGCCGGTCGTGCAGCCAGGAGAGGCATTAGCGAAAAAGGTCGCAGTGGCAGAGAGAAGGAAAAGGGGAATGAATAGAGGTGTCTTTAAATTGCTTCATCAGATGAGCAGGCTGGCAAGAAAGCTTTTCCTGCTGTTCTTCATGTCATGCCAGTTCAGTGAATAAAAATAGGTCACACTTTTTCAGAGCTTTTAGTCTGGCATCCTTCATGAGTTTGAATT